AGATACAGACAAAGAGGTTGATAGATTGAACAAATATTTATCTAATGTGTCTTTGCTGGCTGTATTTTTGTAAATACGTTTTATAACTTTTAGGCTGTAGAATGCAATGCTTTAGCTAACATGACATTTACTAGTAATATGTATGAATAACATTACACTAAAACTAATAATACATTAAACCGTATATCATTCCTTACTGGTCCAACACGTTTCTATCATTCTATTTGAATGTACTGCTATAAATGTAATTTTTTTGTCTATATATTCAACTAGCTTTTATTTCAGCTGCTGGGTGTTATTTAAACCTTGTAAGATCTATAATATTGAACAGAAAACGGCCATTCGTTCATTATACTGCTGACGAACTAATGTTGAAAGACAAATAATGTAAAGTAACGTTAAACTATTTTCGTAAAATAATAAAGTAATTTAAAACTTTAATTCTTTGATAGTGTAATACTGCATAAACGTACTACAAGCGATTCACATCAGTGTGGCCTATACCTGAAGGAATTGTAGTTCAACGTATTTCGTGTACATATCGAAAAAGATATACATTGCATCAACAAATCTATTATTTGTGTGTTTTATATAGTTAGCGTTAGGACAACTGCTTATTAATTATATGAAAAAGTTTAAATTTCAACTTCTGTTTAGCTAATAAAGTAGCGCTATTCAGCAAGCGATGCTGTAAATTAGAGCAAATAGAACATGTTACTCAGTTTAAATAATAGTTGTTCAGACATTCTTGTCTTGTGTTTCAGAATATTGTAAGGAAATCAAATATGTGACGTATAAAATCTTGATAGGCCTACATCTTAAAAAAATTACCCAAATCTACCTTGTTCACCTAAATATATATTCTTAGATTGGCATTCCATTTTTGCGTTTCCAATGATTTGGAAATATACTATTATCATTCCTATCACTGTGAACAAACTTACCAAGGCTGAACAGTATTGAAAGAATAAGCTTATTTACAAGATGATTAAAACCCAATAACCGGAGCGCTTTCGAAAGGTGGACCTTTCTTTTCCTTCAGGGGCAAACTGGGCTGTTTTCAAGATCTGAGAAACACTCTTCAGCAGTCTTATCCGATTATTTCAGGTCGTTAATACCAAAGTGAATTATCAGAAAACGGAAATCTTAAAGTTACGTGTTTTTCTGACATCATAAGTTTATATACAGTAATGTGGAACTGTTTGTAAGTACAGAAAGAGTACTAATGTATATCTGTTTGAAGCGATACAATAATTCGTTAAATACCTGTTGAGTTTATGAAATCCAGTTTTAGAGTAGCTTGATTTGTGTGATATTAATGACATATTATTAAATATTTCAGCCTTATTAGACTTATATTGTCTTATAAGAACAAGATTTATTTTGTTATCATTATTTTTGAAATATAGCCCTTAGATTCTATTTTTGTTCCTTTGAAGAAGGTTTGTTTGTTCAAGATAGAAGAACTCCCCCCTCTGTTTTATAAGATTCTCCCGATTATCCGAAAGTCTAAGTTAGGTATTTAAAGACATGTGAGCCAACCTAATGAAAGAGTAAGTCCATCTTCTAATGGCATTGAAAACTCAGTACAGAGGACCTACTAGCCCCCACCCCGAGCATGCATCAGGCTACTATTCAAAAACAATGTCAAGTCTGCCTTAATGATAGACAGTATCTTGTTTTATGTTAGTATAGACACAAATAATCATTTCTATGTATTTATAGCAATAAAGATTATAATCAGCTAAAATAAACAAAGCTATAGGAAAATGTAACAATACAGCCTTCAACAGAGGATAGTTTTCTTTATAATAACGTATTTTGTATTGCGAATATGATGTGGAAAAGGCATATGTCGTATAAATATAAATGTAATAATACTGTCTGTTGTATGTCCATGTAACTATTTCGCAGGGTGTGGATGGATCTTCACCAAAAGTGGTATGGAGGTTCACTAGGTCCATGAGGAGATATATAAAAAAATTCAGTTTCATTCTTTGTGTTTTGCAGTTTTTATGGGCGTTTTTGTCATTTCTTCAATTACATATAAGGGAAGCAACTTTTCATGTCCAAAGATAACCTTTCGTTAGTCATGAATTTACATAACTTCCGTCCATAGGACAGGTACTCTTCTAGTTTATAATATGTTGGTAATCTGTATGACGCGTTTCATCCAAAGCATTAGTTCTTCTTAGTCACTTTTCAAAGTGAGCCGAAAAGTGAATTTCGCATATGGAAAATACCAAATATTTCCAGATGAAACAAAACGCAGATACAAATTGAACTAAGCGACAAAAACAACAACGCCGTCAGAAAACCACCAGATAAGTCTACTGGGAAGTTATTGAATTGACTTGATTTTATTCCCCAAAATACAACAATAGTAGTGAATCATACCATTCAATAAGAGTGTATTGCCCTGTGTGATAGATTCCAGCTCACTTGTAATGTGGTGACTCTTTTTGTTTTCTTTTGAGCAAATATGAAATTCAGGTTCTGACTACGAAGGATTCATGATGCTGCAGCAAATTCATTGTCTGTGTCTGTTCTTCCTGTTAAGTTGGTACTTGTCTAGCGATGTTTTGTGTTTATGTTCCATCTGATGGCATAACAGTATTTATCAATAGTTGGCATCTATCAGTTAGCCATCAGTTAATCGGGGACTGCTTATTTATGAAAAGAAGTATGTTATAGGTCAAACCACTAAGGAGTTAATATATATATATAATTGTGGATGCAACGTTTCGGGCAATGCCCTTCCTCAGGTATCACTAACTGTACTAACTAACAGTAATTTTCTACACAGTTTTATACAGACTGCATATTTATGTCTAGTTGTGGGTGGTACAGTATAGAAATCAACCACTCAGTCATCCTAAATAGACCTCCCTATAAGTATGAAAGGATCTCCATATGTGGTCTCAAGGTTGCGCCAGTCCTTTTGTATCCAGGCAAAGTTCCATTACAACTGATTTATTTTCCATATTTGCACTTCTGATAGCTGAAGATGCCAGGACAAAAAAGAGAGGGAAACTCCTCAGGATATTTAATAACATGTTGAAGAGTACTCAGTGTTCAGACACAAGCCCAATGAAGTTAGCTCTACCTTATCTGCTCATAACATCATATCATCATGTGTCTCTTCTTCCTGATAATTCCTACTTTTCTACTGAAAACATATATAACTCTCTGTTATATATATATACATACATACATATATATCACAGTAGTCAACTGAAATAGTGACTGTAAATATATATATATATATTACAGTAGTCGTATTGATATATTACTTGTCACCATAAATATATATATATATAGAACAGTTGTAATTCACCTTCACCATGGGAACTTCTCCACCTAACATAATTTGGTGGTGATTGACATTGAAGAATAGTGCGTATTGAAAACTGAAACGATGGGGAGACGTGGATATGAGGTTAGACTAGATTCACAGTGCACAACCCAGAAATTCACATTCACTATAGGGCAGTTATACCCTAGAGGCTGGACTTCATGTAACAACAAAGATGGATACATAGAATAATGAAGACACCTGACTTGGAGTACAACAGAACAGGTGGTAGCCAAGTATAATGTTTGTGTTCGTCTATGAAAGGACTTCGACAGGAGAACAGCCAACTGCTTAGCTTAAACAAAGACTTCGCCAGAGATAAGTAAACCTGCTGGATATCCTATATAGCAAACGAGAATAAAGTACAAGATGCTATCCCATTTCCAGTACCATAAGCCACATAAGAGAAAACAACTAAATGTATTTGATCACAGAACAATTTAAACACTATGAATTACTAAAGAAAGAAATACCTAGAAATACTGCCTTGTTGATCAAGATTAAGGTTGTACTTTGTGTTCTATATATTTAGTATTGGTTCAATTATTTAAATGTTAGATGTATGAATATTAATGTTGTTAACTGTAAAGAATGGTTTTAATGCTCGTTATGGAGTATGAAGTTAAATATACTGGTTTATATGTATATTGGGATTGTTCAGAGGACTTTACGTTTGGTAACTATGTTTTAATATTTTAATTTAGAAGTTTGAATTGTTTACTGGAGGGAGTTTTGGCATAAATTAGTGATCATGATTGATGCCTGGGAATTTCCTGAAAGTCTAGATTTGACTTAACGTGCATATGACGTCACAAATGTGTTTTAGAGGCTTGTGGAAAAACATTGTAATAATATATAAACACCATAAAGCTAGTCAGTGAATTCACAATTAGTCTAGTACTATTTACGCAAGTGTATTAATCAGCTAATTTTGAGTTTTTGCCGTAGATTCAAGGAGAAAATCAATAAAAAAGTATCTGTTTACTTTTATTTTTGAGCTAGGCGTATCGTTCAGTGAGCTTATAGAACTTGTGATAGTAGAAGTAAAACGCCTTCCTTTTCATTAAATTGATTGTACTTTGCATTATTTTACCGAATAATAAAAAGATAACCCACCCAATGATAGTAACAGTTAAAACAGTATGTTTACTCATTTATCGTATAATTTGTTTTCAAAAATGGATTCACAAGTACATCACTGAGTTTTTATCAATAAAACAAATACGTGTTTCTTCGTCTTTGCTTGTCATAATCTCAAAGATAGGAATTAAAAACAAATGAATGCTTTTTATCTTTGAGTATCATTCTTTCGAAAAGGAGAATTATAAGTAGATTTATTTGCTGGTTAATTTTAACTGCAGTTAAATTACAGGTAAGAATTTAGCACAAATTAATTATATTTCTTTAAGTAGCCTTAATCATTTGCAAAAATTACAAAGAAATTTAGAGGTTTATTTATCTTTGAAGCTCTACTTTTATAAGTAGATCATCTAGACATAATTATGCAGGTACTTATTTTGGGTGGTTACCTTTCAAGAGCAAAAACTTAGCAGCTAATACCTAAGTGCATGGTTTTCTTTTAAGGGGGTGATTTAGAAAGATGTTTCATTTGCACGTTGATTTATTAGTGGTCCTTTCTTTCTAGGGGAGAGGCCATACAAATGCCATCTGTCAGATTGTGGAAGGGCCTTCATCCAGTTATCTAATTTACAACAACATCTACGAAATCACGACAGCCAGATGGAGCGTGCGAAAAACAAGCCTTTCCTTTGTAACATCTGTGGGAAAGGTTTCGCTTCTGAAAACAGCCTTCGTTCTCATCGCGCTAAGGTAATATGATCCTTTTTAGTTTGGGTTTTTCAGAATTTGCAAGTTGCAGAAGTAATTTAGGCAACCGTGAGTTTTCTAAAGCTTTATAAATTTTGCATAGAATAATAATAAAATATGTAGTTAAAGGCCGTGAAGATTGTTTTGCTCTATCAAATGATGATAAAATTATAGTTACTGCTAGAAATCCATCCCTATCTTGTTTGTTTTCTTTTTTCAAGTCCAGTAACCAGCCCTACACAGTTTTTTATTTAGCGATAATTTTTCCCTAATACTTTTAACACAAGGCACCGAGATATATCTGTAAATATATAAACAATTATAAAAGATAAGAATAAAACTTATTATTAGATCTTGGAGTACAACAATATTAAAGAACAATCAAATTGCATAAAGATTTGTAAAGAAGAAGATCAATATGAACCAAAAGATACATGTATAGTTAGTGAATATTTATGATATGAAGAAAACAAGTAAACTGCATAGAAAATGATTAACAAAAGTATTAGGACAAAGATATTTAAGGAAGATTGATGAATCATACTAATGCAGTGCTACATTATTGCTGGTATTTCATATACAAAACTCCCCATATGGTATATGAGTAGAAGATACCGTTCCTAATATTTAATAACCTGACTATGCTTATTTTGATATGGTATGTTCTAAAGACTAACTAATTTTGATTTCGTATAGCAACATGCAGCCCTCATTGGGGGAGCCAGCTCTCAATCGTGTCCCGTGTGTCACCGGATCTGCCTGAATGGGGAGGCCTTGATGGTGCATATGAGTGTTACTCACAAGGATCCTAATGCATCAGGAACACCAAGTAAGACAAAACATAACAGATTAAATTTACTCTCCAATACATGCGAAGAAATTCCATCTTCATTACACTCCTCATTGCAAGATATTAATAACATTAATGAGCATGATCATACAATTGCACTTGGTTCGCCAGAAAGTATGCCACCTCTTATACCACTTAACACCCCATCATGACAACTTGACCTTGTTCACTACCTTCTCTCCTAGTTTTTAATGGCCATTGACTTTGATTAGCATTAGTCACTTCATGGTTCATTTTTTTCTAGAAGCTCTCGATCCTCTGTTTCACTAGAGGTTCATACTAGCACTCACTCTCAGACCTATGTATTGTCACCCACTGATAGGCCAGACACGACATCCGTCTTTCCTAAAATAGAGTCAAGTGTTTAAGTATATAACGTTAAGAAAAATGAAGATGTTCTAGATTTTATACCACAATAACATAAAACATAATTATAATACTAGTCAAGCATTTTTTGTGCTTCCCCTATTGTTTAGATAGCAGCAAAGGTAATACCAGATTATCTATTGTCAAAGAGTGCATTAAAGCCACATATTATACTGAATATTTTAGGCAATTTCCTAATGTAGTATTAGAGCATGTCTGTTATAGGCATGGACTGCATCACCTAAAACATTAAGTTTCGCTTCTTTTATTTAAAAAAATCCTGCTACGTTTCCTATATCTCTAGTTTTATTACAATGTTTTATGAACTCGGGTTGTATCTTATAAGCCTCTTGGTTTCATTCCTGTCTTTTGTAAACTGAGATCACATCCTCTAGATCACTTGATTGTGCTTCTACTTCATTTGATTTAAGGTCGTGTCTTAAAAACAACTTGGTTTCATTTCTGTCTTTTATACGCTCAGATCACACTTTCTAGGTCACTTGCTTATACTTCTGCTTCATATGGACTCAAGTAATATTAGGCTAGCCCAATCTTTCACCGTAGAAGATGGAAGAATTTAAGACCTTAATTTGTTACCTATGAGACTTACTAGAATGGAAGTTTTCTATTAGAATTTATTTGTAAGCAATTTTAATACACAAATGTGAAACTTCACGTGTGATTAAGAATGAATGGACGGATTAGGTATATTCAGTTGTGGGGCTCAATGCGGCCAGCTATTTAGACCATAATGTTCTAGGGCAATGACACGCACAACTTGAACTATTTGATTACACTTTTAGTTTTATATAGACACAGGTTACACCTTTTAAATACCCATGGTATACGTTTGGCTGTTACAAGTTTAAACAGGTAACACCTCAAAAAAGTGCGATGTTCAATATTTATGTTACACTTGTCTACATTAGTTTAGAACCTAATCATCTGCAAGTTACTAAAATCTACAGTTATAGATGAAAATCCAGGTGAGATTACATCTTAACATTATTATGAAATTTATCAATAGCTGTGTTCAAAGTGTTGACAATAAGTGACAAATGCTTATAAAGCGGCTTCATTGTCAGTATTGTTGCTCTTTTTGCCTGCACGTGCAATGTCTATGCATATGTGAACTTATAGCCTGTAATGCGCAACTGTAGATACACATTTTTGATCATCTGATGTGAAGGGTCATGTTCATTTGGGAACCGTTCGGCATATAATTTGGGAACAGCCCGGCATTCTGATGAAACTCTCCAAACAGATAGGCAATGTTAAACTGTTATTCAACTGAATACTCTGTCAATATTTAGATGATTTGGGAGTAGCTACAGCACAATACATGTGTATTAGCTTATGTAGAGAACTTTTGTTTTTAATCAGTTTTAACTTGTTGGACCTTTCAAAGGAGTACTGACATTCTTATGAAAAATTATGATCTCGTACCTCAAAAGTATCACGCACGTACGCAGTGTGGGGAGGTTCGAGGGGGTTCGGCTGAGTACTGATCTTCTTATGAAAAATTCTGATATCATACCTCAAAAGTATCACGCACGTACGCAGGGGAAGGAGGTTCGAGGGGGTTCTGCCGAACCCCCTATTTTTGTCATGTAACAAAATACTGTCACTAAGTTCATGTCCATTTGAACGTTCAGTTGAATAATTACGTAAGGTGTACACAAACCGAAGAAAGACTGAGTGCTCTAGCTTTAAGATATAATCATTATGACACTGCTATCAAGATTGAAACTATATGTAAGTTATTCATGAAAAAGCCCCTAGAAGAATGATAACATGTTAACATGTTATTTCAGTAGTGCATACGTGTACGTATATGACAATCAATTAGATAGCCAATTTTCCTTCATATATACGTAGCGACATCCAGCTATACCGTAAGTTCAGGTATTACGGTTCCTTTTGTTCCTGATAAGGCTTGGTTAATACTCATCAAACTTAATACATTGCATGATGAGCACACTGGTAAGAAAGAACGATGGCCAGAAATAGTTTATTAGAGGTGCTCAGGCATATATTACTTTTATGTATTGTATGCTTACAACATGTATCTATATATACATATATTCATTTACGTGTTTGTAGTACTTCAGTGTATATAGTCTGATGTTTTCTGAAGTTCAGCGTTAAAATCTACTAAGGTACAGGTTGACCAGAAGCGTATTGATCTGTCATTTATGCTTTATTCTCTGCTGTTGTTGCTGCTGCACAAGAAAAGTTCTTATAATCTGTTATTAATATTTGTAAAATGACACATATATCGATTTATTCTATTGATATGCCATAATTATTAAGCATGCCTTCGATTTCAGTGTTTTTATCAAATTGTTGGACAGTATTTCTTAATTTTATTCAAAATTTAGCTGCAAAAAAATATAAAAAATACGTGAACGTCTGAAGTATTAGTGATAGGTGAAGAAATTTTATTTTCTTCGGGTTCTGAATTTGTTGTTTTAGAAACTATTACAAGGTACTTCAGGATCAAAATGCATGAGATTAAATGTTTTACTATGGAAACCAAATTGTGTACTTTTTTATCCTCGTTGGCAACCTGTAAGGATGAGACAAATAAAGTTAAACCAGAGAAACTATCGTTGTTCATGATACAGAAATCGCATGTTTTGGAGGCACATATTTTGATAATTTTACATATATATATATATATATATATATAACATATTATTAGTGAATTCATAAAACAAGCTATTGTTATATGCTGGCAAGAGAATAATAAAAAGAAAAACAAGAGAATTATAAACGGGCCGTTTTGAGCGGATTTTCTTTTCCTTGTAAGTCTAACATGCATGTTTTTTTGTGCATTTGTATATGTGTACAGCGTTAGCAGTCAATGATAAAGGTTTTAAAATGTTGTTTGAACTGAATCTTCACTGTTTAAAGTGCTTTATGCCCGAATGTTCTGTTAGAGTTTTGTGCAATTCCTTGCGTTCCCTATTATGAACCCACTATCATGATTCATCATACATAAGATACAGAAATCACAAGTTTTCGAGAAGCATAGTTTGATAATTATATATATATATATAAAATATATTATTAGAGAAATCATAAAAAAAGCTATAAACTAATATTCATTTTGTTGTTAGGAATATAGAACAATCTATTTATAGTAAAATAACAGTAAACGTTTAAATATTATTTTATTCGTGGTGAAGATGGCCCTTAAGAATTTAAAAAAGGCAGAAAACTGATTATTTTTTATGATAATATACCGTCTGTAGATAAATAAAAGTCATCCGTTCTAAAAACATTCTTGGAAAGGACTAAAAGAATTATATCTTTCGCAATGTTGAAACTAATTAGGATTGGCTTTTTGGAAACTGAGCTGTAATATGGTTACAAGTTA